TCAAAGCAGGTTTCTGTGGCTTATAAAGAACTCTGATCTCTGGCTTCTGTCACTCTGGGAATCCTATAATCGGCCCCACCCCCACCCCCGCCCCCCACTCTGAACCTTGGAGCCCTCACACCACCAATGCTTCCTCTAAGTGCTCAGGAATGTTTTCCTGCGTTCTCCTGCCCCACGCGCCAGGGCCTATCAACAGAAGTAGGCTCTTACACAGGGATCATACCCTGTCATCAAGCCCAGGGTTTCACAGTCTTCCCTGAACACAGCCATCCCCTCCCCTCAGTATCTCCCCAGTCTTAGGTCATGCGACCTGGACGGGTGCCTCTCTGACCTGGCTCTTCACCTGGACACCTCTGAAGACACACTCAAACAAACACACATACGTTCACACAGCCTTTCTTTATCAAAAGGAAATGCCTTCCCTCCCATCACCAGTTGCTCCCGCCCCTCACCCACACAAGGCCACCAGTTAAGTGAAGCCATGGGAAATGCCAGGGACAGTATGTGCTCACAAAGCCACCTGGCTTTGGGCAGGTGACTTCTCTCTGGCCCCGATTGACCTAGTTATCAAAGGTTCTTCAAGAGGGGACGTTGATGCCTCAAAGAAATTTTTTAGCAGATCTCTGGTTGTAGATGCATCTTCAGGAAGCCAAGAGTGTCAGGTGACCGACAGACCCTGCCAGCTCCATTCTGACACTTCTAGAAAGGCCCCAGGTAGGAGCTCCCTGTGTCTGATCCCTTCTCTGTCTTCCCCCATTTGGTTGTTCGGGGAACAGTTCCTGGGGAATGGGTGGCTTTCCAGATGGTCACAGAGGAAACAGGAGAAGCAATTCAGAGTTTCACGCACTCCATCTGTCTGTGTGTACCATCCTCACCATCCTCAGTGTCCCCACGCAGGGCTTTCCGCCACCCCCCTGGGCCTCCAGTTCCCATGGACAGATGCCTTTCAACACGCCCACCCTCACCCCACCCCCCTGGGAGCCCTGTTTTCCCAGCTGGATAGCTGTCAAGCCCATGAGCTGGTGGTTTTGTGTCATCACATGATCTACTCCAGATGGTACCTGTCAACATCAGCTGCCATGGTGCCATGACTGGCAGCAGCCTCACACATGTCCCTGTACATCAGAAGCGGGGCCTGACTGTGTGCACCCAGCATCACTCCCCATCCTGCTGTCCTGTCAGCCTGGGGTTCCACCCCCCTTCCAATGCCGTCAGTGCCCTGCCCACGTGCGTCCCCAGCCTTCCCCTAGAGGGAGGCCCTGTGCGTTCTTCTTGAAGAGGTGAAGGCCCACGGAATAGTCACAGCACCTGGCAGGCTGTGGGAGCTTAATAAATGTTAATCATCATCATTGCACACCTAGAAAGTTTTCTAAAATATCCAAGGAGAGGGGGAGGAAGCTTTAGGAACAGCTGCAATAGTTGTACCCAAGGGAGAGAGGCAGGCAGCTGCCATGAGGATTTGGCAAAGGGTGGCCTTAGGGGCCCTCCAGGGACAGCCTCTTGGCCAGGATGGGCAGACTGTGATCAACAGGAGGGTCTACTCCCAGAGAAGGGTCTTTGGGGGTCAGTCCAAGACCAAGGAGGAGACAGAGGGCAGACCCTCTGACTATCTGCCATGTGGCCTTGATTAAGTCCTCACCCCATCTGGGCCTCTGTGTTCTTTGCTCCAGCCTCAGAACAGCTACTATTTTGGTACTAAGCTCTCTGCCTACATCATATCATTTCATCCACAAAGTAGGTGCTACTATTTGCAGAAGCTTGGAACGGTTAGGTGACCCACTGGAGGTCACGCTGCTGGTGACAGAAAGTTGTTTTAGGGTACAGAGAGCTGGAATTTAAACCAAAGCCCTCTCCTCTCTGAACCTGTGACAACTGACTGGGCTGCCTGCCTAGGCCTGAAGAGGAGAGGGTCCTGGACTGATGCTGGATGGTTCCAGGCTATGGGCTCAAGTCTCAGAGGGACAAGGGACAGAGTCACCAAAATGAAGCCGCACTGCCAGCATCCCTCACCTGCTCCTCTCTCAGGACTGACTCCCGGGACTTTCTGCTCCAGGCCTCTTCCAAAGCCTGGGAGGTCTCATGGCCTCCCAGCCTTCTGAGAGGTGAGAACTCACATGCTCACCTGGCACAGAGCAGGAAGGCAACATGGCAAAGGCAGCCTGACGGCCCTTCAATGGGACTCAATTGCCTGAGGAACCACAAGTACTGAGTCACTGCTGCTACCCTGCAGATGCAGCGAGGCCTCTCCACCGCAGACTCTGCCCTGGTCTTAGGGTCTCCAGGAGTCCAAGTTGGAAGGTGGGGCCCTTAAGGCCACCAGAGGGGAGCTAGTGGAGTTGGTCAGAGGCTAAGTGCCACATAAGGGGTAGCCAAGGGGCAGTGCATGAAGAAAAGTCACAACCTAGTGTGCACAGCAGAGACAGCTGGTCAGGGGAGTGGCATAGCCTAGGTTTTGGCTGCCAGCTGTACAGTTGCAGGGAGCCTGGGTGACTGGGAGTCTGGAATCAGGGCTGGTGATGGTAATGTCCAGAAGCCCACATCTACTGTCTCCATTGGCAGGCAGCGTTCATTTGTTCATTCATTCATTCATTCATTCATCTAGTATCACCAAGTCCTTCCAAATAAGCCAGGCACTCCTGGGTTGTGGACTTTCAGCTGTAAATAAGATGGGCATGGTCTGTGTGCCAGGAGAGAGACATAGAGGGCTCCTTAGCACGGTCCTCAGGGCTTCCCAAAATCTGAGCAGCCTGCCTTCTCCACATGCCTACTTCTGACCTCCCTTGCTCTCCCCTTCCTGGCCATTCACCAGGGCAGGCTTGGCCCTTGGCTGTCCTTGCCCACAGCCTCACCTTTCTCAGAACCTGCCCCAGTCACTTGCCCATTCATTCAAGTTCCAGCTTACCCTTCCTCTCCCCCAAGAGGCCTGTGGAGTAACTCAATGAGCAACAGTCACTAAGGAAGGTGGGTGTGACTTGAACTTGACTCACACCCTCCCAGACCACTGCTGTTGCTCAAGCTCCCACTCTATTCCTCACCAGCAAGCCACACCCATGCCCCTTACTAGCTGCTTTTGACCTGGGACAAGTCATGCCTCCCTGGGGGCTTGTGGAACCACCAAGGCTTAGTCTTGGCCCCTCCTAGACCCCCTTCTTGCCACCCCATGCACTGGACCAGCCTGTGCATGGACTGGGCCCAGGAACCATCATGAGGTGGCCCTACTCTCAAAGCCTGGAAACTGGGCACAGGACACTGGGTAAGAGAAGGCAATGGAGAGAAGGTATAATCAACACTGACACCATGACCCTTTGGGTGAGGTAAAGGTAGGATGAGCAGGAAACTTGAGCTATGAGCTGTAAAAGGACTCTCTCGGGGAAGGAGCTTGGAGAAGATGGGGGTGGTATGCTTGTTGCTAGATGTCTGTTGTGTGTCCATGTCCTTGCATGTCCATGTGTCTGTACACTGCTGTATAAGCACCTTCGGTGTTTATGTGAATGCCTGTGTGTTGTGTACGTTTGTTCCCATGTGTGGTTGTTTTATTGAGTCTTTATATCCTCGTCTGTTGGCAAAATGTGCCTGTGTGTGTTTGTACATGTGCGTCATCAGAGGTCTGAGTTCTTACTAATTTGTAGTTACCTGTGCTTTTGTTTTGATGGTGTGAACTTGGACCTGTGTTTACCCAGTCAGGGGCTGGGTAAACCCCTGACTCACTTCCCACGTTGCTATGGCCAGATTGGGGCCCATCTCAATCTCTAAGTTTGGTGAGTCACTTCTAAAGTTGGGGGCCAGGGACCAGCAGGTCCCCACCCACAGCCTATGGGGCTGTCACTGGGTCCTGAGTCTGGCTGGGTTTATAACCGAGAGACTCTGTGTCCTCGACTCCCCTCCTCCAATACAGGGACCAGCTGGAGCCACCCACAGTCCACATGGAGCCCCAGCCAGGCTGGGGCCATCCCCCAGGCCTGCCGCTCAAGACTGCACTGGGTACACCGTGGTTCAGGGACCAGCCGAGCTGTTTCACAAACACCCCCAAGGAGTAGAGCGGGGGAGATTGCCCATCCCAGGCCTGCCCTCACCTTGCTGTCCTGTATGACTTGGAGCAGCTTATCTGTCTTCTCTGAATCCAGGTATAAAATAAGGGGCAGATGTTAACAGGGCCACAGTGTACAGTTGTACAGTCGTGTACTGCACAAATGCATCTGGCTGTCCAGATACTGCCTTGCAGGTCAGAGACCTGGTACCAGGCTACGGTTCATGCTCTAGTCACTTCACTGGAGAGAACGAGGCACAAGCCTTTGTTGTCAGCCTTCCCCTGCCCCTGCCCCTCACCCCTTATTGGTCCAGGTGTCTGTCCATCATGGACTCACCTCCATCTCTCTGGAGACAGACCCCTGCCATTCTTCCTGCCCTGCCACTATTCCCTATTCTACTCAAACCATCTAGTGTGGACCCAGAAGGCCTGGAAGTCCTGTTCTAACCCCCACCCCCATTTTATAGACCAGGTTGCTGAGGCCTAAGGAAGTATGGGACTAGTACAGTGCCTTGTCCTAGAATCAGTGACTCAGAGGCTCCACCCAGTCTGACTCTAAATCCTACCCTAGCCCCTCCACCCTGGCACCAGCTCTCCAACTCACCCCTCCTTTTCCCAGCCCCCCAGAGTGACTGTCACACTCCTCTGCTTCAATGTTCTTTATTTCCTCAGGAAAGTAGCTAGGGGAGTTCCAGTGGGAGGACGGGGAGAGTAGGGACAGCAGCTCAGCTCTCATGCCTGGGGTTGGCAAACCTGGGAGGAAGGAACAGAGCCGGGATCTGAGTGAGGAGTTCAGTGTGGATAAGCACTGGCCCCCAAAATGCCCCTGGATCAACCACTCCCATTTTGGGGCTGGGGTCCCTAGGCAGCACTTGTTTGACCTAGGGCTTGGGACCTGGGGCTTTCCGATGATGGCTGCCCACTGAGGGAGCAACTGCAGGAGTGAATCCTGACCCCTTACCGGGACTTAGGCTCAGCTGGATTCCATGTGACGGCTGCTGTAAGGTATGTCACGGTAAAAGGGGTCAACTGAGGTCAGGGTTCTGCTGGCAGAGAGGAGGCGAATGGGAAGGAGGAGGGCATGGAGTCTGAACCCTCTTCTTTTGCCAGCCCCTCCCAGGGAGCCTGAGAGCGGGCCAGGCCTGAGCCAGGGCAGCCAAGCCACAAACATTCTTTGCCTGCCAACTCAGGCCTTTGTTGTGTAAGTGTAGGTTTTGAGGAACTGAGCAGAAAGGAATCATGGGAGAGGTAGATACGCAGTCCATTCATCTTTGGATCTGTCCCCCTCTGTCCCTGTCACCCAAGGGGCCACTGGAGGAAGAGCAGCCATGCAGAGAGAGGAGTCACTGGACAGAGAGAGGAGCCCAGCAGACAGGAGGAATAAAAGCCAGCCAGAGGAAATGACCTCTCAGACAGACAGATGGACAGAGGCATGGGATAGGTAGGTCTGGAGCTGGCCTGGATAAGGCTGGGGTGTGAGGAGGGGAAGAACTGACAAAGCTGGTGTGCTACCTTCCCACGTGGGGGTGCATGTGCCTCAGGCTCTCTGAGGGACTCGGGGTGGCCTCCATGCGGGAGACTGGCTGGTTAAGGGCATAAGCTCCTGCCACTTGGGGCTGGATGCCTCCTCGAGTCCAGCCTTCCCTGTCCAGACCCTTGGGGATGTTCTCAAAGTACCTAGGACAGAACAGGGTTCATTAGCTCCCCACTGGCCTTGCTCACCTCCCTCCTCAGCTTCCCCTGCCCTTCTCTTCTGCCCTTCTCTGATAGGACCTTGACCCTTGAGCCCTCCAGCCTCCCTGTTGTTGGCTGCGTGTCTCCTCCACCCAGTGCACCTAAACCCTTTTCCACTTGGGCCCTCTCACTTAGGAAACCTGCCATCCCCTTCCCTAGGCCGGGTGTCCACCCCCCGCCATCCTGCCCAGGCTGAGACAGCTGTTGCTCTTCTCCATTTGCCCTGTTAGCACCTGGGTGGGCTTGCCTCAGCCACCTCTCGAGGCATCCTACATCCCTCCGCCTCACCAGCATCCCACTGAGCCCTGGGCCCGGTTCTGAGGGCACAAAGATGAATAAGGTGTGGGCCCACCCTTGGCTTATGAAGAGGGGGTGCAGATAGATCCATGCAGAAATCAATGACTACAACCCCTGGGGGCTCCAGGTGCCCCAGCAAGGACCAGTGTGTGCCTGACACCTGGCTGGAGCTCAGGACATGCCGATGGGGGCAGGTGGTGGTTGGGGAGGGACTTAGCAGAGAGGCTCTGGCTGGGGGGCTGTTGCAGTCTCAGGAGGGGGCATTCATCTAAGCACAGGTGACAAAGTTGTCTCTCAATACCCAGAGTGAGTGTCCCTTCCTCCCCTCAAGAACAGCTGCTGAGGCTCCTAATCAACTTGGGGATCTTTGTCACAAAGGGCAAGAGTTTAGCCCAGAGGCCATCAAGGGCTCTTCCAGCTCAGACCTCAAGCTGACTGTTCCCTCCACTGTCCTCCTAGCCACAACCCTAACCTCTTTTCAGTCTGGGCTTCAATGTCACCCTTTCAAAGCCACCCTGTTCCCCTGGGCCTCCCACCCCTCCTCTCCTGCTCCCTCGTAACACACTCCAGCCCCCCACTGACTGGCCACATCCATGGCCTGTTCCTCCTCCTCGACTGAGGCCCACTCCTAGGATCTAGGCCAGTGCCCATCCCTCAGTCAGGACTCAGGGAAAGTCTGAATTGAATGAATTCTGTGAGGTGTCCAGGAGCAGGGGCAGGAGAGATGGGCTGAGGAGCAGAGCAGAAGGGAACTTCCAAGTTGGGTAAGGCTTGAGAGACAAAAGCCTGGGAAAATGAGGACAGAGTGGGGTACCCTGGAGTATTGGGGCTCTCGGTGGGGAGGGGGCAGTATGTATATACATGAGAGATGCTTTAGGGAAGCTTGGGTGTCCCAGCTCAGAGGATTCTGTCCCAAGAATTTACTTCCTTTGTACCACTCACTCCTGTAACACTCTCCTTACCTAGCCCTGGCCCCGAAAGCTGCCCGCCATGGCCTCTCTGGGAAACCCTCCCTGAGGCCTCGCTCTGCCCAGGGCTCCAGCAGGCAGAACTTACCTGTGAGGGAGCACAGAGCTCATTGCCATGGACGGGATGTAGTATCTTAGTAGCTGCTGTGGTTACCGCAGACCCCTGTACCACCTTACCCTTCCCATGCCCGCCAGCCTGACCACCAGCGGTGTCCTGCTCTGCAAATCTATAGGGGTGCCACCCTTGGATTGCTGGAACCTACTTCACCTGAGCAAGGAGGCCCCTGGGACTTAAAATCCATCCAGAGACAGCCTGCAACCAGTGACGGACGGACGTGAGGGTGTGCAAACCCCAGCTCTCTCACCCTTGGCTAGGTTAATTCTGAGTTGTGTGTCTTACAGTTTTCCTCATGAGACAGCTAGCCTTTTCTAACACCTCCATTACTGGCAGCTTTCCCTCCGACTCCACTTCACACTTCCCCAGGCCCTGGGAAGGACTTGCACTTGAATGCCTGGCTAAGGGTCTGCGTCTGGGGACCTCTGCACTAATTCAGTGTTGGTCTTCTCCCTGAGGCTGTGAGCTCATTACTCAGACCATCCTCAGTCTCCCAGTCTGTCAAATGGGTCTCAGCTTAGCACCAAGAAGGGGGCCTCACCCTTGGTTGTAGGTGGTCAAGTAGCGATGATCTCTGTCAGGGTCATAGGAGCTCCGGACATAGGTGGGGTTGTTAAGACTGAACCCTGTGGGCTCCTGCACAAGGGGGAGACAGAGGAATGGTCAGGTCTGAGGTGTAGGTGTAGGGGACAGGGGTGGAGTCTGGGTGCAGCAGCCCTCACCTTGTTCCCCACGGTCTCCTGGCCAAGCATGGCAACATTTGTCTGTTGCACTCGCTGGGGGGACTGGTACTGCCGGTGGCTTATGCTGCTGGGCTCCGGGCTGGGAGGGGGCACCTACAGGGGGCAGAGCCACAAGACGGGAGGCCAGGATGGCCAGGATGAGGCCACAAGGATGGAGGGAGGGCAGGCAGATGCACTTCTCCTTCCTGCCAAGTCTAACCGGCTGTTTAAGAGCCCACTGCTCCTTCCGGCCCTTGGGCCTTCCTCTCCACTTATGAGACCCTTCCTCTACATCTCCATACTGGGCCCAAATGCCACCTGCCCAAGAGACCTCCTTGTTACTCACTCTGGGGTTCAAAGTCCTTTCATTCACTCGGCTGTAGCCTGTCTCCCGTTCGGAGCCTCTGGCCAACACAGGGAGGAACTCACTTCCCTGAAGCAAGCAAAGCAGCCATGGACACCTGAGTGCAGGTGCCCCTCTGCACTTCCCCAGAGCCATGTCTCACCGCCCCCTACCCCAACAGCCCCTGCGTGCCTCAGCACAGCAGCTTACATGAGGGTGACCCATAGGGAGGAAGTCAGACTTGGTGACACTCCGGCCTGGGTGGAGGACCTGGTAAAGTGTTCACAGAGGAGCCTCAGCCTGGCCGAGGCAGCTGGCCCCTGTACTCGGGTGCTCCCACCTGAGGCTCCCACAATGCTGAGCTTGCAGCAGGGCTTGGCACAGATGGGCATCTCTGGGGTGACTGAGGCAGGGGAAGAGTTTAGGGAGAAGGACCATCCCAGTGACCCTGAGTGGAAGTCTGAGTGACTTGGCTGTATCCCCTCATGTGTTTGGGCCTCATTCTGTTTTGTAAAGTTGGACCAAAGCCGTGTTTTCCACCCAAGCTCTTTTATCTTGGGTTTGAACTCAGAACTTTGTAGCTCACATTTATAAAAAGCCAGGAAGCTTCAGTCACCCTGAGATTCTAGCGGGGACCAAGGGGACTTACAGGGTCCCCAGGGAGGGCCTGGGAGGGTGGCTGGAAGACAATGGGGTTCTTGGTGGATTCTTCTGTGAAGCCGGTCTCCTCCTTGGCGCCAAGTGACTTCTTCTGCAAGAGGTCTGTAAAAGACAGGTCCCCTCTGGGGCCTTTCCTCTGAGGTTCAATGTCCCAGCAGGAGAGGAAGGAACTGAGGCCAAGGACTAGAGACCCGAGCCTTGAAAATCATGGTCAGCAGAGGGAGGACTCCATGATGCAGGCCAGAGAACGAGAGAGGAGGATAGATGGAAGGGCCACAGATGACAGACCCGGAGCCTGCTATGTTCAGACCAGGTGGCCCTGCTATGCAGCAGACCTGGCCACTGAGTCCAGCCCTGGGGACACAGTTTCCTCAAGGCTCCTGTATTTCTTCCACTGGTGGCTTTTGAGTCCTGTGCCAGCTCCTGGTGCCCCTAGGGGATGTTTTCTAGGTGCCCAGACAGGTTGGAAGGGTGGAGTGAGTTCAGTCATGGACTTACCTGACTGGCTGGGAGTCTGCTTGAGATAGAGTTATACTCAGATGTCATGAAGCGCGGGCCCTACAATACAAACGGTGGGGTGATGGAGGACACAGGCAGGTGGCTGGCAGTGGTGGAATAGCTCTTCCAGTGCGTGAGCTCTGAGTGAGCTGGGGAAGGGGGGCGGGCAACACAGCACCCCAGCTCAAGTCTGTGCCCGATGGAGCATCACATTGTCACAGATGCCCCCATGACAGTATCAAGTGTCACATGCCACACTAGGTTCTTACAAATGACTTCAAGGGACCCTGACAGGGGCAAGGGAGCTGTGAAGGAGGGGAGGTCTGATGGGAAGAAACGCACACATGCTCAGGGTGTAGACAGGCAGGGGACAGAAGGGTGATGGTGCTGTTTGGGGAAACAATGAACAGCCCACATGCAGTAGCTCCCTGGGTGAGTCAGCGCAGGAGAGGAGGAGGCGGGCACGGCCCCCTCGCTCTGCCCGCAGCCTCTGGCGTCCACTCACGTAGCGTGAGTTCTCCCACTCCAGCGAGCCCTTGCCCTGCTGCTGGTGGAGTAGGGGTACATCCTTAGGTTCCAGCCCCGTGATGGTCTGGGGCCCATGATCCTGGGTGTCGAAATGGACCTTCCTGACCTGGAGGAGGGAGCACCAGTGACCCTCTGGGCAGGTGAGGGGATGGCAGTCACATTCTGATCCTGATTTTGCCCTTGACTCCTACAGAGGACCGGCACAGCAGGCTTGAGGGACCCCATCACAGCAAGCATGAGAACTGCAATGCTCAGGTCTCACATCATTGCTGCTACCCTCACAGTGACTCCTAGCATCCCCACAAAGGCCCTCAGGCACTGTGACTCCTCGTGTTGCAGCAGCCATTTGCCCCCTTACAATTCTCTCACATAAAGCACTCCCACTTCAGGGCCTTTGCACTTGCTGTTTGCACTGTCCAAAATACTCTTCCCTTGGGTGGCTGCAAGTCGAGGATGCTAGCCTCTTTCAATTTTTGTCCAGTGTCTCCACAGCAAGCTCTTTCCTGACTCCTTCACTTTTACTTCACCCCTACTTCTCCTGTGTCGTATTTCCCCCTGTTCCTATCATCTCCAACTGTGAAAGAGATGATCAGAACAGATTGGTTGGATGAATAAATGAATGAGAATGCATTATGGTGACCATGGTGATGGTAAGAATGATGGTAATAATAGCCAGAATGAGCCCCTGCCTGGCAAGCACGGGCCCTGAATTCAAACCCCAGTACTTCCAAAAAAAAAAAAAAAAACAAAACCAGAATGATGGTAATGATAATCATAGAATGGGGGTAATCATGACAACAGTGGGGGGACAATGAAGATGGTGACTCCTCTATGCTGTCATCTCAGCCTTGACCCACCATTGGCAGTACTGTCCCTGCCTGCTAGGAGGACCCCATCACTCCAAGCTCCCAGCCTTCCCGCCCACTCTAGGGCTCCCCTGCCCCAGCCCCGGCTTCACACTGACCTCTTTAGTGAGGGGCACCGTGTTGGGTTTCTCCCGCCCATAGGCTGAGCTGGTCTGGTACATATTCCAGGGTAGTGGGCCCTTGCCATCAGGCACCTCCAGGGGGCAGTAACTCTGACTGGTCACTGTCTGGAAATTGTCCCGGAGTTGTTCCCTAAAGTGGCAGGGGTGCGGGAGGAGGGGAGTGCAGAGAAATACAGAGCGGGAGCTAGGACATTCAAGGCCACCTGTCTTGTCTTGTGGGGCTTCATTGCTTGTGCCTAGAAACTTCCCACCTCCCTCCCCCTCTCCCAGACTCCTCAGGTGTCCCCTAGCCTTAGGACCCCCAAGCTGGGCAGCACACCCTGAGCCACCCAGGACCCCAGGCCTCCGTCCTTCGAGGCTCAGCATCCCTGTCCTTGGAGGCTGGAGTTGCCTGAGAACAGAGGCCCAGCAAGGGAGGAATGGAGGGGGAAGTAGGTTATACAGACCGTACCCCATGGCTGGGCTATCCAGGGCATCCAGGTGGGGTTGGTAGGAGACCAGGGGCCGGTAATTCGATTTGTAGCCTGTGCCTACGTGACTGCCCATGCGGGGCTTGAACTCCTCCCGACCTGTCAGAGGGCCAACAGGATTGGGGCTAGGCAGGACTGCAGGTCAGCAGAGATAAGGAACGTTAAGCGGACAAGGCTGGCATCCCTTGGGCAAAGGGGTCACTATGGCAGGGCCATTCTAACAGTGCAGTCTTTGGAGGGTGCAGAGGACAAATCAGTTCCATGTGGTGGGTAGCTCTGTGATGTGACCCACTTGAGGGACTTCTCCTCCCTCAGGGCCCCTCCCTTCGTGTCCAGTGTCCTAGAGGTGGCTCAGTACAAGTCTGTCCTCACCATAGGCTGTGCAGTAGCTGGTGGCGTAGAATTTCAGGGGGTCTGAGCAGCCCCCTGAACTCATCTTCACATAAGGGGAGACAACCCCCAGGGGGAGTTTCCCCATCATGATTGCTGTGGGGCAAGGCCCCCGGGGCCTAAGGAGGAACACGGGAAGCCTCATCAGTCCCCAGCCTGGGCTCTGAGGACCACAGCAGCGACAATCAACTCCCACACATCCAAACTCTGTCCCCATCCTGCCACCCACACCCCAAACTGAAGAAAGAAGTGATGTTCAACTCTTGTCTCATGGTTACTTGTGTCTCATGTCATCTTTTCAACACTTTCTTATTAACTTTTGACATCATATCCCCATTTTACAGCCAGGAAACGGAAGTTCCCGATGATGAAGGATTTGCTCACAATAGGAGGTAGAGCCAGGATTCAGACCTGGGTGTCTGACTCCTGCGGCCCTGTGATTCTCAGGGAATAAATGACGGAGAACATCCTGCCTGGGGAATTTAATGGGTCACTCAGCTTGGTCACTCACACCCAGCCCCACCTCCGTGTCTCTCCCTCAACTCCCTGGCCTTGCCCAGGTTGTCTCTGGAGGTTGTCTCTCCTCCCTGGGGTCCCATGACAGCGAGCCCCACCCTCACCTGCCCTCCACAGTGGCTCTGAGGTCGGCAGAGGCTGCAGGAGGCAGGAGCTGCTCTGGAGAAGCCGGCCCTCTGGGAGGTGGAGGTGGCCAAGCCAGAAGCCAGAAGAAACAGAGCGTTGCCTAGCAACCAGCGCCTAGCAACAGCGTCCCCACGCCTCTGAAGCCCTTCTAGAGCCAGGGCTCACTGAGGGCTGAACTGGCTAAGAGGCGAAGGCCTGGAGCAGGGAAGGTCAGGCCCCTCTTCACTGCTCCTGCCCCATCCCAGCCGCCTGCACGAGGCCGGTTAGAGTTGCTGTCTGAGTGACATGAAATAAAAGATAAATCCGAACGATCACTGCCATTTATTTAGTACCCACTTCTCACCAGATACTTTACATCCTTTATGTCTGTCCTCCAAGCGGCTCTTCCAGGTAGCTATTATTATCCCTATTTTCACAAGGGGAGCATGGGCTTAGACAAGCAAAGTGGCTTGACTGGCCAAAGATCTCGCAATCAGAAAATAACCCAGTTTGAGACTCAGACGTGGGTGGATCTGGATCCCACTCTTATGCCTCTCGGTAAATTAATGTTTACTATGTTCTGCTCCAGGCAAATCTGTGCTAAGTCCTTTTATACACATTACCTTGTACAATCCTCATCCACCCTGGGAACTGGGGGCTCCTGGTATCTAGCCAATAAACTACAGCAGCAGTTAAGAGGGTATCTCCAGGCTGTTCTGCTAGCTTCCAGATCATCCTCTCCCCACACCCATTCCCCATCTTAACCAAGCACAGAACAGTACCCCACTCACGGGGCTGCTGGCGGGTGAAATGAACCTGTGGATTCGGCATGTGCCTGAGGAGAATGGGGGCGAGGATGGTTCCTGCTCACAGGCTATTGTTCAAATGAAGCGCTCAGCCAGCTCCCCAGTCCAAGACAGCATCCGCGACAGCCCGTTTGCCTTGTTGGCTTTCAGGCTTATAAATGTTGTGACGATCGAGTACCTCCCTGGGGGAGACCCAGTTTGTAGCATTTGCCCATTTCTGGGGTATAAATACTTCCATGTGGCTGTTTTCAAACTACCAACAAAATGTCCTCAAATGGGGACTTGTGAAGGTAGCTGAGTACTCCACAGTATTTCTACCACACGGATCCAACAGATGTGAGCAACCTCAAAGGCATGAACACTAGGAAAATGCACCAAGATAATTAGGAGGAGATGGATTTTATATATGTATTACCTTTATTTATTTATTATTTTGAGGTGCTGGGGCTTGAACTCAGGGTCTTGTGCTTGCTAGGCAGGTGCTCTACCACTTGAGTCATGTGCCATATTTTTAATATAATTCACTAAATTGCAACTTTGAGTAATTTAATTTTTAACAGTGCCCAACTTGCAGATGTCCTGGAAGTTTCTCTTCAGTTCTTCTGAGTGTGTGAGCTTCCTCCAGTGCACCCTTGCTTACCCAGGAAAGCGAGGTACGAACAAAGGTGAAGAGGCAGGAGGTAGAGGGGATGCCCAGCCCAAGAGATGTCTTCGCCCCACTAGCCCTGCCTGGGAGGACACTTGTGACCCCTCAGAGAGGCTCTGGTCTCAGGTGACCAACGCTTACAGAGGGCTACAGGGCAAACTGGGTTTCTAACCTCCAGAGCAAGGACTGTTCAGAGCAGGTAGGCTGCATGGACAGGCGAGTAAAAGCACACGGCTCTGCCCACCAACAAACTACTGACAAAGGCTCACATGAGCTCCCTGCATGAAACACAAGGGGAAGACCGCCATAGTGGGGTGGTGCACACACAGGGTGAAGGGAGAGAGAGGCCCTCCATAAGTGTGCCTGAGAAGTGGTCACAAGCCAGAGCTCAGACTATGAGGCCAGATATCATGGACTCTGGCTCTGTATTAAATACTTACAGGACTTGGTGAGTGATATTGTGCCTCAGTTTCCCCTTCTGGAGAATGAGGGGGTAATGGTATCTCCCTACAGACTGTTGCATAAATGAAGCACTTAACCTAGCACCTGGGATATGGCAAGTGCCATCTACTATTTAGGGAGTGACCCTAGAGAGAGGTGCCTTTTGAGTGCTCACTGCTTGCTAGGCAAGGGGTTGGGCCCAAGGGACATAGACAGAGCTCCACAGAGCTCTGACCTCGGGGAGCCTTGAGCCTCGGGGATCTCAGGCACAGCCATGTGATGTGGTGAAAGAAAGCGCTCAACTCCAGAGCCTGAGCTCAAGACTGTTTCTGCTGCAAGACTCAGGGCTTACCTCCCTGAGCCTATTTCTGCACTCGTCTCACAGGGTCACTGGTGGATGTGAAATACGCTATGCACTGTGTCTGTCAGTAGTAGGCTGCACAGGCAGAGAAGAGGGAGGGAAGCAAGGGCAAAGGTGGGGTGAGCAGACTGAAATCCAAGACCTATCCTGTGAGGCTGGAGCATAATGAAGAGAGGAGGGCTTAGCTGGGAGAAGCAACTCCCAGGGAGGCTGTGGCCAGGTCTCCTTTTAGCAGGGTGGAAGGGGTGAGGGGATGGGTGGAGAAAGGCTTGAAATGGTCCCCTAGGACATCTTGAGAGGCTAGAGTTGACAAGGGACTCCAGCAGGAGTTCTGGGAGGTGGCCTTTCCACTGGCCTCACTGGCATTAGGTCTGGCAGCTGTGTTCCCAGAGGCCTGTGGGGTTTTTTGCTGTGTGGCGACATCCAGCGGCAGCAACGAGAACTGCAGGATGTGCCATAGGTGCTGTCCTACAAGGCTGGAAGGCTCCTGGAGGTGGAACAGAGTGGCCAGGTGCTCCCAGCCTCGCTCACTTCCACATCCTCCCTGTACTCCAGCTCTCCAGAACAGAAGAAGCAGGCCTGGAGCTTACAAAGGGCAAAGGGCCTAGGGGATACCTACCTGGATTCAGGTCCTAGCAGGAACGGAATTGCTGTGTGACTTCCATACCTCTTACCTGTGGGCCTCAGTTCTTCCCTCCGTACTACAAAGGAACGGACTAAGCAATCCTTCCAGATCTGAGTCTAGGTCGGAGATTCAGACCACACCTCACTCCACTTTCTTCCTCTGTGCCAAGCCCTCTCATCACTTTTCACTCTGGCCCTATAAGATAGGAACTATTGTCAGGTTTAGTTTGTATATGAGGAAACTGCCTGTGGCCCCACAGATAGAAAGAAGAGGAACCAAAACCAAACCCAGTTCTGACTCCAGCCTGCTGGAACGTGCTGGCAGCGTCTCTGCAGTGTTGGGACTGTAGCAGTGGGCTCTGGTACCCCTTGGTCCACCTCATTGATTTCCAAATGGATAGACTGCCCTGGCCAGATGGATAACCTCATTTTCCTTTCTAGCCCTGCCCAATACAGTCAGGGTTTTTTTTTTTTTTTTTTTTTTCTTTTAAGACAGGGTCTCTCTGTATACAGACTGACCTTGAACTCACTTTGTAGCCCCAGCTGGCCTTGAACTCACTTTCCTTCTGCCTTCACCTCCCAAATGCCGGGATTGTAATAGGGATTCAGTACCACACCTGGCAAGATTCACTCATTTCCCCTCTGTGATAAGGCTACAGACACATGGAGTCTGCTTTGGACACCAGTCCTGCCTCCCTTTCAAATCCTGGGAGGTCAAGGCTTAGCCCAGCAGGAGGACATATTGGGGCCTCGGGCCCATGGAGCTCCTTAGCTTCAGGCCCTAAAAGGTTCTGAGGCCAGAGCACAGAACCCTTAAACCACTAGGCCCTGAGTGGAGAGAGACAGCCACACTCTGTTCTGGGCTAAATGGGCTGTAGATCTCCAAAAGAGGCTTAGTGGGAGCAAAAGAGACAGCACACATGGAGCATGCGTTGTTTTGCCTGCTTGATTTGCCTTTATGGCCAGCCTCGGAGGACAGAGCCAGGGTTCTTGCCAGAAACAGATAAGTCAGCAGACTTCAGCTTAATAGGGGAAACGCTTCCTAACACATCAAACCGTCCAAGAAGGGAACAGGCTGCCCTGGGGGAAGTGAGTTCTCCATGCCAGGAGGCATTCAAGCAGGAGCGTCATAGGATGACAGTGACAGCTACTCACTCAGGGTTTGTTAGGTTCCGGGCACTGTCCTAAATGCCTCCCGTCAGCACATCTACGCCTCACCACATTCCTTTGGGGTAGGTAGGATCAGTTCTTCCCTTCTTTTCTTTCTTCTTCTTTTTTTTTTTTTTTTATTGGTGGTACTGAGGAGGTGAGGCCTTGCATTTGCTACACAGGTGCTGTACCACTTCAGCTCCAGCCCCAGCCCCTTTTTTCCTTTACCTATTTTTGGGATACGGTCTTGCCGGCCTGGGCCAGCGTAAACTGCAATCTTCCTATTCATGCTTCTTGTATACAGCTGGGATGACAGGTGTGATTACGATGGGGGTCTTGGGAACTTTTTGCCCTGAACTGACCTTGAAATATCATCCTCTCCATCTCTACTCCACAAGTGGCTGAGATTACAGGTGTGAGCCACTACACGCAGCCCAGTTCAC